TAAGGAGGAAAAAAAGTAGTCTCTAGAATCAGATGAGCTCAGGCTCCATGATATTAGCTATGTGGCTTTCCAAAAGTGTTGAAGTCTTTCTCTGTAATTTTGTCCTCATCTATGATCTCATTTCCAATCTTACTCAGTGAGTTGCTTTAAAATTTTTAGAATGGTAAGATGGGCATATAAACCATTTAAAACAATCTCTGATACAGTAGGGCTCAATCAGAGCATATTGTGTTACTAATATGAATAACTAAATTTGAGATTTCTTATATATTAATTCTAAGTTCCCTTTAACTGGTATTAAGTTATCCTGAAATAGTCACATAAAAATAAACTTTCAAGTATTAAATTCGGTAAACAGAAGCATAGGCTCAATACAGCCACAATGATATGAAAAAAAAAAAAAAAAAAGCTTAGTCTTAAGGATCTTTGGCAGAGTTTTCAATGAATATTTGGTATCTGCAGCATTGTAGACTTGGAGACCATGAACCACTGAGTTAGGACATGACCTGTATAGCTCAAAAACCAAAGGTATCTCTCAGTCATGTGCTCAAGTCTCTTTTTGTTGCTTAAAAGAATACCAGAGGTGCCTATTAACCTGTGAATCATAGTGAGTCTTAATAATAATCTTTATGCATCATGACTAAGAACTGAAACTGGTGAGATTAGGTGCATGAGACAAATGCAGTGACCTCTTTGTGAGTTAGTAGAAAATCACTGAGATAGGAAAGATGTGTGAAACAGCTCACACAGAGAACCCAATGGCCACACACACCATTGTGACTCCGCTGCCAAAGAGTTGGTGCAGCTAAGGACAGGCACAGGCCCCATGTTCGTAATCACTGCAGAAAATGTCTCTGGGGCTCTCACCAGTGTGTGACATCCTTTACAAGAAATCAGATACCTAGATATCATCAGTGCAGTGGGACATGCCAGCAAAATGCAGTATACCATGGCATCCAAATGGTTTAAAGAGAGTTGGGTATATTGAACCTGGAGAAGAGAGCCCTTGGGAAAAGGGTAACTAGCTATCTGAAAATATCTGGAGGACTGCCATATTAGAAGGCAATAGGCTTCTCCTCTTGGATGGAAAGACAAAAAGCATTAAGAGGATTAAAAGGCATACTGAGCTCATATGACAAGGAACTTCTTAATAGCAGTCCTGTGGGTTCTGAGGCAGGAAGCAAGTGAGTTGGATAAGCACAGCATTTGTCAGGCATGTTATCAAAGTTTACTGTTGGAATTCTAAGGGTCCTTAGCTACCAAGTTTAAATGTTCTATTGTGATCATGACAACTTCAGTAAATACTTGATAGGGGTAATTTTAAAGGGGACATGATTAGACCTGCTAATATATAGTTTGGCACCATGGATCATGAATTTGCCTAGAAGGTCCCTTCCTCCTAGGTGGCTATAATAATTAGCACAGAGAGGAGAGGAGATGGCTCAGTACATAAAAAGTGCTTGCCATGCAAGCATGAGGCCCTGAGTTTGAATCCCAAGGATACAAGAAAAGAATGCACAGTGCTCCATATCACTAATCCCAGTGCTCCTGCTCCTATAGAGAAATAAATAGGAAGAGGAGACAAGAATTCACAGAAGCCTCCTGGGTCAGCTAGCCTGGCATATAACACAGAATGACAACAAAGAGGTTCTGTCTCAAAGTGGAAGGGAGGCAGTACCTGAGGTTGGGCCTCTGTCCTCTGCACTGTACTGGGGTATGCATGAATGTACACTTAGGGTAAAGGAAACAACTAATCAGAAATAGGTTCTTTCTCATCTGCGTGGAAATTCAGTGGAAATTGGAAATGTTGCTCCACTTCATTGGCATAGCACTTCTCAGTATTGACATTTTTTTCTAAGAACAGATGAGGATACTTGACGACCTTCTTAGGCTGTGTCCTTTAGTGTTCTTTTCTTTTATAAGGAATTGAAGTTTTGTGTTCCAGAACCATCTGAACAAATAAAACTCTTTTCTGCTGGTAACATGCACTGTCTGGGGCCAGGCCTCCTGATTCTACTTCCTCTCTCTCCCTGATCTGTGTGTAAAATGAGACACAGAACTGTAACAAGTTCTTAAAGAACTGAAGTTAATCCTAAAATGTTCTATCACAAGGTTTCATATTCTTTCTGCTAGGAACACCACTATCATTCTCTCTCCATTTTCAAGGCAGTATTCTGTTTGAAATATTGGAATGCCCAGACAGTATTTTTCCCATCTCCCTCTCCAGCTGAGGTCATCAAAACTGTGAGCAGGAGACACACAGATCAAATCTTTGCATGTCATGCCTCTGGACTAGGCTTCCGTGTACACAGAGTTGTATTTTGGATAAGTAATGGGAGACAAAAGCTCTTTCACAGGGTGCACTTTCCTACTTGAGTCACTACACATGCCCCAAGATCGTTTGGCATAAGTAGCTATTTAGTGAGTAAATTTAAAGAAAATACTGTGTTCAAATAGCAAAGGTTGAGTTATAACTAAAGATAAAGAATAAAGGATGTTGAATGATGGCACATCTAAGTGGTGGAGTACTGGGAAACACTTTAGTTGTGATAAAAGTGATAAAAAGCTTAGGGCTGGGGAGATGGCTCAGTGGTTTATAGTGTATACTGCTCTTCCAGAGGAACTGAATGTGGTTCCCAGTACTGATGTGAGGTGGGCCACATCTCCAGGGCGTCTGACACCTTCTGATGGCAACTGAACTTGTGTACATCCCACACTCAGACACAAATGTTACATATAATTAAAAATAAGTCTCTTTCTAAAAAATTAAGTAGATAATATGCATCTTAATTGAAAAAGTATTCATTCTTGTTTTCTAGATAAAGTTGGAGATTATCATATTTTTTTTTTATTCAGGTCTACAATTTCTGTAGTTTAATGGTGTTTTGGGTTTTGTTTTAAGTGCTAGGACTGAATCAAGGGACTTGAAGTTACAGACAAGTGCTGGCTCACTGACAGTGAGCTATGTCCCAACCCCCTGCTTTTGTGTTCGAAAGTGTCTTGCTTTACAGCCCAGGCTGGTCTGGGATTTGTGGTCTTCCTGTCCATCCCTCGGAGGTGTTGGGCTTAAGGCGTGTTGCACTGCGCCTTACTGTTGCCTTCTGTAAAAACACAAATTGTGTTTTTACAAATGGATCACTTCTGACTTGTCAAGTGGTAATTATTAGTTTTTGTTTTCTTCCTAGCACTAGTAAATTACTAGTAAAGCTTGTGAAGTTTCTTGTTTTTAAGTAGTACTGTTAGGAAAACTAAAATAGTTTTTGTCTGCTAGAGTGGCGTTTGTTCTTGCCTTCACAGGTTAAGGCAGCAAGAACAACCACAGTACCAGGACTGCAAAGAGATTGCAAGTGGGAAAGTGAGCAGCCCGCAGGGCTCTGCACTGGAAGAAGGCCTGGATGACTATTTGACACGGCTGATAGAAGAAAGGGACACTTTGATGAGAACTGGTGTATATAACCACGAAGACCGAATAATAAGTGAACTGGACCAGCAGATCAGAGAGGTTTTGGCCAAAAACATTGCCAGTAATCAATGACATTTGGGAAATCTTTGCAGATACTCTAGATCTGGATTTTAATTTTTATGCAAAATCCTCAAAAGGAAGGAAAATGACTATTTTGGAATGCTCTTTTTAATTTTTTATAAGCTGAATTTTATATGTTACTGTATATAGTATTTATTTGATTTTACTTACGCTAACTCTCCTAGGCTGATTTCATTTGTAACTGTATTATAGATGCTCATTTAAAATGACTTTTCAGTGTTCTTCAGTTTAATATAAAAAGAGCTTTTCACAACTTGTTCTGGGAGAATTGGCTACAATAATTTCCAGCTACGTAATTTTTCATGTTGAGCCAAGAGAGTAGGAGTTGCACTTTAAAAATGTTGTGCCCTCTTCCCTCCTATTGTAGATATCTTCAAGTTGAAGCCAATTATAAATGTAGCCATTTTTTAAAAATCATTTTATATAACCAGTCTTTTTCCCCTCACTGTGGTATTTGCAGTCTCAGGCAGAGAAGCCGTATGGCATTTTGGGTGACAAATTAACCGTTTGTTTAAATACAGTTCATCCAGATTAAGAACAATTGAATACCAAATTTCATCATATTCCACTTTAAGAATACAGGATAATAGCTTGATCCGGTCTTCTCTTATGGTCTCCCACTCAAGACCATATGAGGTTTTTTTTGTTGTTGATAAAATTATAGGTTGCCTTTATTTCTCAGTGATAGCAACACTAAGCCATTACAGCTTCATAAATAGGATATGGAAACAGATACCTAAGATAGCATTAGCTGAAAAACAAACAAACAAACAAACAAAAAAACAAGAGAAGCTGAACTAAATTTTTACTCCCTCTCCATTGAGTCTTTTTTCAAAGGCGCCTGAGAGTGAGTTGATGCAGTGCCATGTCCTATAAACCTCCGAGTTCCTTTATATCGTGTTCTCCAGAGCCAAATATCCTCATGATGGCGCAACCACTATCTCCACGTGATGCTGAACAGGTTAATCAGCAAACTCCCAGTTCAGGTCGGGTCTTAAAATACATGAAGTGCAAAAATTCTGATTCCCAAATACAACAAATTGAAGTGTATACTTTAGGGAGTATGTACTAATAACCAGTAACTTCAACAAAAGCAAAGTAGGTTATGTGGTAATGTTCATTAAATATATTTCTTGTTTGTGAAATTGAAACCCCTATAGGCATCATATGCTTCTTTTCTTTAATTAGTGAAGTCTCAGTCTTCTGAAAGCAAACCAACAGTAAATAACAGAAGGGTCATTGGATGTGAGGGTGATGACACAGATAATCATAGCAGGGATTTGAAATATGAATTATGGTTACATTGTCCCTGATTTTTTTGGTGACACATGAATGGAGCAAAAGTATTTTTGTTTTGGAAGAAGGTACTGACCCAATGCTGGTTCCTCCACCTGTGAGGCCTGGAGCTTTCCAAACACTAGAGGGGGCCTTAGAGCAAACAGAAAAGGACTTTAAAATCTATGTGTGCTTTGCCTTCTAGAAAGCCATCTTTGAGCTGCTGTAATTTGACAAATAAAACCCTAACTGTGTGCAACCTTGGGTTCTGTGGTCTCTTTTTGTTTCTAAATGGAGTGTAGGTGCTGGCCTATTCCTGTATTTGTATTTTTTCCAGGTATCCCTACCGCACATTTGAAACGTGGGGAGAAGCTGAAATGGTAACTCTTCACTCCATCAGCAATGGTCGTCACATTGTTAAGTGGTGCTTCCCACACACACACCGATCACTCGGTTAAGTTGTTGTCCATGTGTGGCTCCGACTATATCAGCTAATGTCTCTGTAAAGTCTGTACTTTTCTAAGGATGATGCCTGAGAGGGGTGCATGTGTTTGCAAGGTAGAGCTAGCACTGGGTCTGGATACACTGAGAATTCCTTCACAGGGCTATCCCAGTGAAGCAGGTATAGGTGTGTAGGGTGGTCTGAAGATGTCCTGGGGCTCTGTACCAACGGAAAGGTAAGTCATCTGACCTATGATTTTTTTTCCGCTGACTGGTCAGAGGAATTCTTGGGTCGTTCCAGTATTTATTGTGTGTCTGAAAGCACTTGAGACCAGACTGACTGGTTATTATAGCTTATAGGAAGGACTCTGTCTCTCTGATTTAAAGTGTGGTCTCTCCAGACCCCAGGAACATGGGTTTCTGTGAGGAAACCTCAGAAATCTACAGGACCTCCTGTAGAAGTTCAGTATTTATCCCTAGCATAGGTGTGAACTTTGGGAGCCCATTCCACATAGAGGAACACTCCCTGAGCCAAGACACACAGGGGTGGGCCTAGACCCTATCCCAAAGGATACGATAGACTCTGATGACACGTCCTATGGAAGGCCTCACCCTCCAGGGGGAGCAGAAAGGATATGTGATAGGTAGGTTTTTAGTTGTTGGGGGGGGGGGGTAGGGGAGGACGGGAAGGGGAAGGGAACTGGGATTGTCATGTAAAACAATCCTGTTTATAATTCAAATAAAAAAAAGTTGAAAAAAAAAACCATAGGGCGTGGCCCTGCAAAAAATTATTAAGTGTGGTCTCACTACTATTGTATCTGGCTTACCTCACGATTTTTTTAAAAAGCATTTAAAATTTAATAGTGTGTGTGTACATGTGCATACGCACATGTGTTCATGATGTGTAAGGAGTGCGGTATACTGTGTTTGCTGTGAGCATGTGTGGGGACAACTGTACAGAGTCAGTTCTTTGTGCCTTTCCATGGGACTAGGGGTTAACTCGAGGTGCCAGGCTTATTCGGAAAGCATCTTTGTCCTCTGAGCCATCTTGCCAGTCCCCCTAACATGGTATTTACCTGATAAATTTCATATAGTCCACATAAAATTAAAGTAACAAAGGTTATGCCAGCATCATCACTATTTAAAATATTTTTGTTACCCCCAAAGAAAACCCCTATGCAATTTAATCATTCACTTTCCTCTGTGCTGAGTCCCAGGTAACCATTAATCTCCTTTCTGCCTCTATGAATTTGTCTCCTGTAGACATTTCAAACAAGGGAACCACAAACTTTATATCTAAAATTCAAAGATATTAACAAGCCTAAAGTGTAAATCTTCTCTAAGTAGTTCTTTAGTATAAAACTTGAGATGTGGACCTGATAGATGCATCCAGAAGGCTGGCATATGAGTAGGCTCAGCTATTTTATCCATCATCTAAATATTGACCATAACTAGTACAAAGTAGAGAGAGTAGTTGAGCATCCTGCTGCTGGAACTAGACTGCAGGGCAAGGCACACGTTAGCCATTGCTATAGACCAGAACTGCACGGTTGTCACGTGCTGTAGAGTCTGTGGGTTATGTGAAGGACACTCAGTCAGGACTCAAGTCCTGTGAGGGCAGGGACCACCTTTACCTTAATTTCTGCCATATACCAGAATTAAAGTAGTTCTTTAGTTCTGCTCATTGTCCATGGAAGATTGGTTCCAGGAGCCATGCTAATACCAGAATCTGTGAAGACTCAAGTTCCATGTATTAAGTGATGTAGTGTTCAAATATAGCTGTTGCACAGCCTTCCATATAATTAACTCACCTACAGAAGATAGATCCCTTAATACAACTAAGCACTGTGTAATTAGTTGTTATTCTTTATCATGAAGTGAACAATGAAAGAAACATCCATACAGGTTTGGTCCAGATGTGATGTTTCTGTGTTTTTGATTCATGGAGGCAGTCCTTAGATACAGAAGTTGATTGCATTTGCCAAGTCCATATAGGGGTGAGTAAAGATATAATCCTGCATGTTTTGCCTGTTAAAGTTCAGGTTCCCTGGCCTGACTGGCTGTCTTATGAATCTATGGCCTTACTGACTGCCACTTTGGTGCTGGTTAGTGATTCTGTTTACTAAATTGGTGAAAACCATAGTTTTAAAGTCATAGATATAGAAAATAGAAGAGGGCTTTTCCAGAGGATTGGGAGTTGCTGCCAAACAGTGGCAGAGTTGTTGCTCAGGGTACGGAAATAGGTGAAACACAGTATTCATTAGCTGTTCAACAACACAATAGCATTCTGGAAATGCCAAGCTTATGTTCTATGTCTTACACCAGTACAAAAATACCTACTTTGAGTTTTGCCTACCTTCATATCTCCTGCTTCTAGGCTGAATGGTATCTGCCCAAGTGCGACCTGTCCAACCAGCCCTTCACACATGTTTATAGTACCTCTGTGAACAAAATCCTCGGAACTGAAAATTATATCCTTCCTGTTTTATAACATTAAAGACCTATTGTCCTTCAGAAAAACAAACAAAAAAACGAGAAAGACAAAGCAAAAAAGAGACTTCTGCTTTTTAAATTTAGTAGGCAGTCCAGACTTCAGATATAAATTTGAGAGAATTTTCCTATACATTACTAGTAGTCAGCCTTCCATGTAGTATTTTAGACATATATCTTATATGTAGATCTCTTGTTGATTGATGGTCTTAACTGACAGTGATTTGGGTGGGAATGTCAAATAAAATCTACAATTGCTTTTACTTAGGATTTAAACTTTACTGTGTGACCCTTGGTAACTATATATAGCCTTGGAACCTACACTTTACACTGTACACTTTATCTGCCACCCACTCTAGAACAGTTGTGTCTTAACTGATGGGCCATCTGTATCCACGGTTGGGCAGACAAAGATGAGTTCATCCATCTTGAGGTAAGTGGGAAAGATATTTGCTTAAGGACCTGATTTTATCCAGTTGCACAGACATTGAGATCAACAATTAATAAATGAGGTCTCCTGAAACTGAGAAGCTTCTGTAAGGCGAAGGATACAGTCAGCAAGACAAAACGGCAGCCCATAAAATGGGAAAAGATCTTCACCAACCCCACATCTGACACAGGGCTGATTTACAAAATATATGATGAACTCAAGAAGCTAGCCACCAAAACACCAAATAATCCAATTAAAAAGTGGGGTACAGAACTAAGTAGAGAATTCTCAATAGAGGAATCTAAAATGGGTGAAAGACACTTATGAAAGTGCTCAAAATCCTTAGCCATGAGGGAAATGCAACTCAAAACAACTCTTGATACCATCTTACACAGGCCAGAATGGCTAAAATTAAAGACACCAATGTCAGTGTATGCTGGAGAGGATGTGGAGAAAAAGGAACACTCCTCCATTGCTGGTGGGAGTGCAAACTTGTACAACCACTTTGGAAATCAGTATGGTGGTTTCTCAGGAAAATGGGAATCAGTCTACCCCAAGATCCAGCAATTCGTCTCTTGGGAATATACCCAAAGAATGCTCCCTCCTCCAATAAGGACATATGTTCAACTATGTTCATAGCAGCGTTGTTTGTAATAGCCAGAATCTGGAAGCAACCTAGATGCCCCTCAACTGAAGAATGGATAGAAAAAATGTACATTTAAAATGGAGTACTACTCAGTGGAAAAAAAAAACAATGGAATCTTGAAATTCGCAGACAAATGGATGGAACTAGAAGAAACCATCCTGAGTGAGGTAACCCAGTCACTAAAAGACAAACATGGTATGTACTCACTCATATATGGATTTTAGACATAGAGCAAAGGGTTATCAGCCTACATTCCACACTGCCAGAAGAGCTAGGAAACAAGGACGACCCCAAGAGAAGATTGATGGTCCCTCGAAGAAGAGGAGGGGGACAAGAACCCCTGAGCAAATTGGAGCAGGGGGCAAGAGAGGAAGGAGGTGAGAAGGGGAGGGGGGGAGGAGAACAAGAGGACTGAGATGGGAGGAATAGAGGGCAAGAAAGGAGATGCCTTGATAGAGGGAGACAGTACAGGTTTGGAGAGAGGTCTGGCATAGGGGAAGGGTTAAGGGATCCACTGGGATGACCACAACTAAGAATCCAGGCAGCTGTGAAGAGGATGCTATTGATGCCCTTTCCCTTTAAGGAGGCTGATGTCTATCTTGGTTACTATTCCTAGAACCTTCATCCAGTAGCTGTTTGACAACTAAACACTGAGCCATACTCCTGGAATCCAGTTGCAGAGAGGGAGAAAAGATGAACAAAGGAGCCAAGACGGTGCTGGAGAAACTTGCAGAAACAATTGACCTGACCTAGTGAGAGCACGGAGACTCTAGTCGTAAAGCTGGGAACCAGCATTGGACTGAACCAAGCCCTCTGAATGTGGGTGCCAGCTAGGAGGCCTGGGCAGTCTATGGGACCTCTAACACTGGAGTCACTGTTTATCCCTAGACCATAGATGGACTTCCTGGGCCCATTCCCTGTGGAGGAATACTGTTACAACCCAGATACAGCAAGGAGGGCCTAGGCCCTCCCCCAAATGATGTGACAAAGTTTGAGGGTTGTGTGTGGAGGGCCTCACTATCCCTGGGGAGGGGGTGGGGGATGGGTTGGGGGGTTGATGGGGAGCATGGGAGGGTGAGGGGATGGGGGGATAGATGTGTAAATAAGAGTGCTTCTAAAATAAAAAATAAAAAAATAAATTTAAAAAAAGGATCTGATTTCTACTGGACCCCAAAGAGCAAGCAAGTTTTACATACTCTACACAGTGGTTCTCAGGTCAAGACCCCTTTGGGAGTCACATTTCATATATATA